TTTCCCCTGCAGTCTGAGCTTGTGGTGAGTGGAGATCCCCTCTGACTTTGTGGGTATGAGTCATCCAGGTATTTCATGCCGTCTCTTGCAGTCAGGAACAATGGAATGAAACAAGAGTTAAAACTGTAACTAAGGGTATATGAATTCTGGTTGACCGCCGGAGTTATTGTAGGAATTTTGATGATTGGTCCATGTGTCACCCAAGACACACATGTGACTTTCTTGGTATTGTATTGACCTCTCTCCACATGCAAGGTAGATATCAAGGTATTTCATATTATTTCATATATTCATATTTCATGGCTGCCATTCAGAATTAATACAGTCTTAGTTACATTCATATTCTAGCAGTTGTGTGCCTGGGATGATCACATTATCGTCCTTCTCCTTTAATACATAAAAAGCTAAGTGTAGGGAAGAAAAAAAAAACCTGTCACAAGGTAGTGAACTCCTCGTGCCGGTCCCAATCTGGGATAAATGTGAGGATTGTGCCAGGAAGAGTGAAAAGTCTGTGCCAGCCCAAATATGTGGATCCATCTGCTGATAACTGCTTGGGCAATAATGAAGCAACTGCAAGTACTCCTTTAGTTTTAGGTTGGTGTACTTTATCAGAAATTGGCAACAATAGTTTTAATATAAGGAGTAAAAGTATTATAAAAATGCCCATAAAGTGCGCTTTATTATTCATGTAAGTTTAGTGTTATATTGATATATTTAGCAACATGGTTTTGCATGACTAACAAAAATATGTGAAAAAACAATAGGACAAATGCAAAAATCTCAATCATGACTTAAAATGTGCATCAGTTTCAGGTGGAGGTGAAACAGTTGTTATGGATTTATCAAACAGAATTAACAGAGTACTATGTATCATGTGTTTTGATCAACTAACTGAGTAACAATTAAAATTTTATCACCAGTCTGACTCTTCATTGGAAAAGCAATAATTAATATATGAGGAAAAAGTGGCAAAATATCAGCAAGCTTAATTTGAAGTTACATATTTGTACACTGAATAATAGATGGAAAGAAGAGAAACAAAAACATAGATCTGCAGTGTGGAGCAGACAGTAAATGAGTGAAGAGAGAGCGGACAACAAAGCTGTCCTTTTGCTTTAAACCTTTTTTTTTTTCCCCTCTCCCATTTCATCTCACTCAAGTAACTAGCTAACTTGACTTACTCCTACACAAGCCACTACTGCTTTTTATCCCCGCTCCTCAACTGCAGCTTTAATCTCGCCGTGTGCATGCAGGAGAGCAGGCACTAATAATATTCCCAAGTACTGGGAAGCTGGAATCGGTCTGAAAACACACAATTCCCCACATCTGCATTTAAATGCAGTTTTAATTAAAAACTGCTCTCCAGAGGCCAGGTTTTATGATGTCTTTCGATCAGCTGAGAGGTGATATTATGCAGAGTGTGAATCGCACCATTCTGCCAAGCAATATTGTTTCGAACAATAGCTGTCTTATTTACAGCACAGTGGCTGTAAACGTGACAAATGAGTAACTGCAGTACTGCTGTGACTGTAATGTTGCCAGAGATGTATATTTATAGTTTGCTTTAACTGGATTTCTTGTATGTCTTAATAATACTCGCTAACATGAAGGAGTCAGCGGGACCGTTCCACCCCCTTTCCTGCTCTGTTTGAGTCAGACACTTAATACAGTTTGTGCTCTTATGTGTCGCGTACTAGTGCTTCAGTACAATGAGAAACAACATTCATATTACACAGAAAGCTGCTTCTGAGAACCCAGAGGACCTTCATGCTTTTCCTGGAATATGTTTTATCCTTCAGTTAAAAATACATTTTTTAAGCAGTTTCGAGTTCATAGGATGCACTCAAGCATATTTAAACTTGACAATATTATGCTGACAAATAAAATATTTATTTAATCAGACCTCAGTTTCTGGGATTGAGAAATGGCATTTTTATCAAGGCCTTAAAATTCTGAAAAAATTATTTATTTTTTGCACCATCATTCTTTCAAAAGAGATTTCTTCTTTTGGTGGTTTCATGATGAGTTTCAGTCAGGCCGCAGAAAATTATTCAGATATGCTATATTCATAAACCTTCTACCAGTAACAACCTCCTACCAACCTCAGCCAGGGATTAACGAGGGCTTTAAAATATTTACAATACCGCTGAGGCCTTTAAAAGACATTTGTGACTATGTCATTAACACTCGATTACTGCGATGGCGTGTTCGAGTTTCAGGTCATTTTCCGGCTGCTCGTTAAGAGAAGTGCAAGCACAAATTTAACATGGCTCAATTTCTGGCCTCCCTGCGCTGGCCACTGTTCAAGACCGGGATTGTTTTGGACTGATTGCTGATCGCTCACAAAGCTCTGCCTGGTGTGACACAGGAGTAAATTTCTGAACTGCTGATTCCTTTCAACTCTGAGGTCCCACGAGTCCTCAAACTACCTCCCTCACAGATCACAGCCAAATCAAATATGTGATCATCTGGGGAGAATCTTTTTATATCTTCTGATGCGGTCTCCTTTTATAATATTTTATTAGCTGTTCTGCATACTTTTGTTTTCTACGTGGTTCTTGTATATTAAAGAATAAGTTAAGCAAAATCTTTCAGGCGTTGGTGTGGACGCCTCTTTTTCAGACCTGATGATAAACTCTTTAATGCACTTGTAATGTGATGGGTGATTAAATCTAATCAAGTCAGAGTCAGATGAGCGAAGAGGAAACAATCCATAGTAACGATTAACTGTAAAATTTCTTTGTGTTACTCTAGACAGCGACTCGCTGCTTAACAACAGCGGAGGGTGATTAACAAAAAAAGAGTCTAACAAATTTCCTTCTAACTTTGGAAGATATGCACTCACTTGTTTACTTGATGTCTGCAGCCTAATTGTTGTCAGATTGAATACATTTTTGAAAGAGGGAGGGGTGCATTTAAAGATCGTGGCTCAAGAGTTGGGTGTTCGTCTTGTGATTGGAAGGTTGCCGGTTCGAGCCCCGGCTCGGACAGTCTCGGTCGTTGTGTCCTTGGGCAAGACACTTCACCTACCGCCTACTGGTGATGGCCAGAGGGGCCGATG